CTGCCTTCCGGGGCATGCTCCCCTTGCCCCCCCCCCCACCCCAGCCTACCATGTGGCCCTCCTGCACAGCAAGGGGAGAGCTCTAGAAGGCCTGTGAGTAGGAAGCAGCAGACACAGAACAGGCAGGGGTCAGGAGACCAGTGAGGTCAAAGCGGGGAGGGCAGGAGTGCTCCCCTGGAAGGATACTGACGCTCCATTTCTCCTCCTCCTCCTCCCCACCCCTCTCCTGCTCCTTCTGCGGAAAGGGAGATGCTGGGATGGAGTGGAGAGGCTGGCTCGAAGGGACGGGACTGACCTGGACTGGGGAAGCTGGTAGAACTGGGCTAAATGAGATTGGCAGCTGTCCAGGGACCAGCAGATGGTGAAGTTGCTGCCTTGCTGGCCCCCATGTGGCTGACTGCAGCCATCCAAACTAGACCAACAGCAGCTCACTCCAGACACGAGCATGGCCAGGGGCTTAGGAAGGCGAATTGGATAGCCTAGTGCAGGTGGCCTAGAGGGGGCCAGAGCAGTCTCAAAGCTCACAGGTGGTAAGGACTGTGGCCCAGAACAGGCAGCCATGCTGGACCCTGAAAGGAGAGATTCATTCCCCAAGAATGGCTGCCCCTCTTTCAGGAGACGACTAAGAGGGGCTCAGGGAAACCTGCTCTGAAGGAGGCCAGAAGCCAGGGCCCATGCCTGTAGAGTATACTACCAGGTGTCACCAGGAAGCGCATGACTAATGCCAACTGAGTGGCAGGGATCAGTGATGAGGATCAGAACAAGTCAGAAGAGGATGAAAGGAATGGGAAGGGCCATTGTCAGTGACAGGGCTAGGGGAGGGCGGCAAGATGCAGGTGGAGGAGGAGGGGGAGGGATGTAGCTTCCGTCGTGGTGAGTTGGTGGCAGTTCTTAGGCAGCGCATTTAGGGGTGGGAGCTTGGGCGTCGCTAAGGAGCACAGCCCAGACCCTGGCGCTCACAGTCCCGCTCTTCTCCGTAGGAGGAGCTAAGCTCGGTGCCCTGGGCGGAGGTGCAGTCGCGCCTCCTGGCGCTGCAGCAGAGCGGCGGGCTGTGTGTGCAGCCGCGGCCGCTGACCGAGCTGGATGTCCACCACCGTATCCTGCGCTACACCAATTACCACGGGCCAACAAGGGCGTGCTGCCGGCCCGCTGCCCGCTGCCCTGGGGAGGCAGTGCGGCCTTGCTCAGCCGCGGCCTGGCACTCAACGTCGACCTGCTGCTCTTCCGCGGGCCCTTCTCGCTTTTCCGCGGGGGCTGGGAGCTGCCTGATGCCTACAAGCGCAGCGACCAGCGGGGCGCCCTGGCTGCGCGCTGGGGGCGCACGGTGCTGCTGCTGGCCGCAGTTAACCTGGCGCTGAGTCCGCTGGTGCTGGCCTGGCAGGTGCTGCACCCCTTCCAC